GTCCCAACATTGCACAGTATACAGAACGTGTCTTTAACACAAGAGTCACAGCAAAAGGAATGGGAATCAGTCTGAAGGCACTCACTGTCCATTAACAGTCCTTATTATGGCAGGCATCTCCCTTTGCCAACCACGTCTCAGCAGTAGACATCACTGGCCAGGTGACATCTGAATCTCGTACTCTGCTTTGCAGGCTATATACCTTAACTGAAAGATGCATTATCTTACTCCTACCCCGTAACTCATAACCCAGACTCATGTGTATCGGCCCTGCCATATGCTTCCCATATCGGCCTCAGCATCTACATAAATGTCTGTCTGGCTGCCCTCTGATACTGTGCTACTGATATATATAACCAAACCAACTGAGGCTGCCTCCTGGCATATTTTCACACATATTTTTACCATAATGTTTAACTCTAAAACTAACTCTTGAACACATTGAACACTGGTAACTGTAACAATGGCAGTAGTACTTATTTCTTTGTGTGATGGTGGGCTGGCCTAAAGTGGGGTATGTTCAAAGTTCAAAGTGTTTATTTTGTCATATGCACAGTTAGGAATGTATGCTGCATGGGAGCAGCATGTGCAGCAGAGTCATTGTGCAATTATGCATGTGCAAACTGAGAATGTAAACAGTACATCACGTATTTCCTGGTAATAAACTCCTCAGCTGTTTAGGAGTCTGATGGCAGAAGGAAAGAAAGAGTTTTTCAGTCTAGTGGTCCTGCATTTCACGCTTCTGAACCTCCGGCCAGAGGGTAGGGAGGTGAACAGTCCATGCTGGGGGTGGGTGGAATCTTTGAGGATGGAGGCAGCTTTCCTGCGCACCCTGCAGTGGTAAATGCTCTGCAGAGAGGGCAGTGGAGTCCTAGTGATCTTCTCCGCAGTCTTTACCACTCTCTGCAGGCACTTGCGGTCCATAGCAGTAGTGCTGCCATACCAGACAGTGATGCAGCTGGTCAAGATGCTCTCAATGATGCAGCTGTAGAAGTTGCAAAGGATCCTAGGCAACATGCCAAACCTCCTCATCCTCCTCAGGAAGTACAGCCGCTGTCGGGCCTTCTTGACCAGCTGTGTACACCACACAGCTAGTCCAGAAGTGTCCAAGTGAGGTCCTCACTGATGTGGACGCCCAGGTATTTGAGGCTGCTCACCCTCTCCACTTCGAGCCCCCGGATGAACAGCAGCTGATGAGATCTCCTCTCCTTCCTCATGTCCACTATCATCTCCTTC